AAAATTATTAATAATCGCAAGTAAGAAATTAAAATGACCAATTAAACACCGATGAAACTGACGATTAAAAAATTACCTAGCAAAGCTCTGTTATCCAACATTTGATGAGAGAGTAGGATCGCGATACTATTCCTTGTTTTTTCCTTGGTTGTTTTGTACCAACACTTAGAACCTTTACGATACTAGCTGACTTATTAATCAACCTCGTTGCTTTGTAACTTTTACAAGTGACAAACATTATTAACAATCGCAAGTAAGAAATTAAAATGACCAATTAAACGCAAAATTAAACACCGATGAAACTGACGATTAAAAAATTACCTAGCAAAGCTCTGTTATCCTACATTTGATGAGAGAATAGGATCGCGATACTATTCCTTGTTTTTTTCCTTGGTTGTTTTGTACCAACATTTAAAACTTTTACGATACTAGCTGACTTATTAATCAACCTCGTTTCCTTGTAACTTTTACAAGTAACAAAAATTATTAATAATCGCAAGTAAGAAATTAAAATGACCAATTAAACACCGATGAAACTGACGATTAAAAAATTACCTAGCCAAGCTCTGTCACCCACATTCCCTACAGTCAACGAGAGGATAGGATCGCGATCTACTTCAATATTGGAAAAAAACAGTTTCTTCTTTCCTACGTAACAGTAAGTACCAACAATAAGTATCAACCTCGATTCGTTCGAGGCGAATATCGCGCGGGAAAGCAGGTGTAAGCGCGTTTCTTAACGATGGTATGAAAAACAGAAATGTTTCCAAAGGAGGATCAACCAGCGCGTTTCCATTTCTTTCGTACGCTCGGGCAAAAGGAGCAGGCCAGACGTAATGACCATTGTGAGAGCAAAATCGCCCTACGGGAACGTGCAATTTGTCTTGCACAAGTGCAGAGGCACGCCAGAGCTATGCAACATGATGGAAAAGAGAACCACCTGTTGCAGGCAGGCGCCTGTTGCCGCCGCTCGTTCCGCAACCAGACAACGAACGTGAATAATCCGTCGCTTTGCATTAAAAATAATCGATGATCTATGTTGTTTCGCGTGCCCTGTGCGTCACCACGTCGTTCCGTGAATCGAATACCGAATGCACGAGGAAACGCGGCAAATGAATGAATTGCACGACGCTGCCATATTGCACTCGTTTGCGTAACCCGATTCGCGATTACGAATCAAAAGAAACAACGTGCGTGGTTTCGTGTGGCGATCTTTTTCAACGTGCAGCGACGACAGTGTTTTTTCACCGATCGTAGATAACTTGCCGATGTGAATTTCATCACGTAGGCGGACGAGTCTTAACGGTTCGTAATTAAAGAGCAACTAATTAAAGACAAAAATAAAAATAAAAATCGAGACAAGTAATGAAATTAGATCGATGACCAAGGTGATTCGATGTATCGTGAACGTGTGAAGAATTTACAATTTACGTACAAATTTGTTTGCAATTACGTTACAAATTACGTGTGTCTGTATTCTTGAGAATTAACACGAATTAATAAGAATAAGTAACAAGTATTAATAAGAGAATTATAATGAGAATTATTATTTAATTCTTATAATTATAACAAGAATAATAATAAGAGTATTCTTATATGATATAATATAACATAATCGTAATAAGAAATTGGAACAAGAGTATTCTTATATAACGAGACTTATCACTATCATATAATACGTATATCGGTTACATAAATTTTAGAAAAAAAATCGGTTATCTCTCTCGAGTATGAAAATTACATGACCATCGCCTAGCATTAATTCGTATTTATAGTTTTCCATTGACTCTCACACGCTAGCCAGCAGTTGTAGAAAGTAGCCCGTATCAAGTCTAGCCATTAACAGGCGATTTGTATTCAAACTCGCGCTGTTTTCTATCCAATAGAAATTACGATAATGGCACAAGCCTCCGTCGATATCTAGAGCGTAGAGGGGCTCCCGGAATTTGTATTGAACAACGAGACTTTCCGTACGATACGAAACTTCACGACAGATTCACAACCAGCTCTGGCGATACTAATTAAAGCGACGCAGAAAGGGGTAAACCAATTTCACTTCCACCTGTTCGTGCGTTTGAAAAAAAAAAAAAAACAGAATTTGTTCAAAAGCTTAGCTCGCGGAGTATTGATCGTTATCATTTTTCACTTATGACAGGGCGGATGAAAAATGTTCCCTCGGTTCCGTGACTCACGATCCATTCGAATGAATTAACGCTGAGCTAACATAAAACGAAAACTTAGAAATCCGGCCACTTCTTTCCCCCCCCCCTAGAGGCGATCACCGTATCTGAAGAAGTAAAGGACTCAGAAACGACGAGAGCGTGATTTTTCAACGCAGAATGATTGAATTTCTCTCTCTGAAAGATTTTATCACACATTTCAACCAGTGGAATACAATGAATTTACTTAACCCCTAGTGGCACGGAATTCTTTTTAATATAAAAAAAAAAAAGAGAAGAAACGTTTATTTCGATTACTAAACATAAAATATTGCTCAAAATGAACAAAATTTTGTTAAATTTTGTGTTTTATTAAATTTTAAACCCACCGGCATCCCAAAAAGTTTCAACAAATTGAATTCACACTACAACGTCAATGATTTCATTAAAAAAAAAACAAGCGAGTGATGTGTATTTTCGAGCAGTAGAGTACATATATAGTTTCATTGTACCAACTGAACACACCGTGTCACAGACCGTTGTTTAAACAATGGCAGAAAGTGAAATAGTAACAGTACGAACCATTAGTCCGTAGATCCTCGTGCACCGGTTGAAAATGGGAACGATGTTGTAGCTGGAAGCCGTAGGCCGGAAGCCACGGATTCGGTCCGTTCACCAGATCCATATCCAGCGCCTCGAACGTGGTCAGCGGCTCCTCGTCGTCCTCGGCTTCGACGTCCAGCTTCGTGGTCGTGGTAGCCGTGGTCATCGTGCTCGTCGTCAACGCAACGGTCGCCGCATTCAGCTCCCTCGTCGTACTCATCTCCAACCTGGAGCTGGAGAGCTGGAGACAGAGACGTGCCCAGCTGCGTTCGGTGACTGACACTCATTAACCGGTTCGCCGAACTGTGAACGTTCTTTCCGCGTTTCCTCGCCGGCCCTCATGCTCTGCCCTCGAGCCCTTCCGGCTACCGAGTCATCGTTTTCTACAACAGCGAGCACACGCCAACTTTCATTCACAAGTTCTGCAGTCTCACGAAAACAAGAGAAACGAAAGGAAAACAGAGCAAGTCTCTTTTTAAAAGAGGAAAAAAGAAAAGAGAGAGAGATGTGTTACGATATGTAACGTGCGTGTGTGTCTCTGTAAATTTTGTTGACTCGAGTTTGAAAAAAGAAAAAAAATAAAAGAGAGAGAGAAAATGGTATGTAATTGTCATTGCATTATTATCTGTGAGATTTTGTAACTTCTGAACGTGAGATTGGGTTAACTTCCAGGAACACTACACGTGCGTCCACTCTGGACAAAGACGCGGTAGCTTTGCCAACATTATAAATAAACCCTCCCCCGAATCGGGGGCATGAGATAGACGACAGTCACGAATACGATCATGTTCGAGTCGATTCGAGCGAAGAACACTACGATACAACATGTCACGTTCAAGAGGTGAACGAAAGTCCGGAATATACAACGAAACGAGGAAGTCCTCGAAAAATTACGCAAACACGGGGAAGATGGCTGAAGGAAGAACGAAGAAGGAGAGTTTATTAGGCCTACGAAGCAGCGTTGCCTGCGCAGAATCGGAATGATGACGAAGACGTTGCCACCAGTTTATGAACCGTGGCGGATTCACGGAACTTTCAGCGGCTCTTTCGAATCCTAAGACGCAGTTTGGCCAGCCAGTGGATTGCGCTTTATATATAGTTGAAATTTAATGCCCGTTAGGAGGAATCGTTAAGCGGGAGCAAATGGCGGCTGTGCAACTTCGGTGACGCAATTTTTTGCTTTGCGGCAAATGACGAAACGGGCGCCGGATTATTTACTCTCGTTATCGTGGTTAACAGGCCAACTGCTCGGAGCAAGTACGAGGTACGACCGTTATTTGAAAAAAAAGAAAGAAAAAGAAAAATGGACGAACGAATAGTTCATCCTGGTTCATTTCATGCTCAAGTTCCCTGCGGTTTTACTATTCGTAACTGATTTGCTTTTGTGGATTCACTACATACTTCTAACTTCTCAACGTTCAACACTAAGAACAACCTTTCTTTGCCTAAAGGACACAGGTATTTTTGCCAAAATTAATATTGACACAAATCTATTTATTTTAATCACTATCGTTTGAATTACACTGATTTATATGCAGAGAAGATGATCGAACAATCTGTAATTTTGCGTTGGACGTAGAACCGTGTATTTTTCGTGCGCACCACCGTATTACAAAGTATATTTTGATATCTCTGACGGGAATTTCACGGTTTGATCGTCGCTAGCTCTAGCGTTATAAAACTGCCTGTCTGCCTGTGGAAATCCGTGGATACGAACGATTAATTTATTTATTCAAACGATCCTTCGACAACGACGACCGTGAAACGGTTTGCTCTCACGCCTCTCACCGCCCATTGAAATCGAGGTTCCACCTCGCGTTGTTTCAATTAAAAAAGAAGAAAAAAAAAACATTACTCGCGCGAAGGAAATTCAAACGCGTGGGTGTGACGATCAGTTCTCCTCCCTACGGGGAATCGCGCACCGGTACACAAACACCGTAAGGATCCACGGAGGAATCCGTTGGCCTCCCTCCCTCCCTCTCTCTCTCTCTCTCTCTCTCTCTCTCTCTCTCTCTCTC